TGAGCTGCGGATCTGTAGCAGACTGGAACGCTTTATCGAATACTTCAGGTGGTACATCGGCATATTCATTGAGGCCGACCTCATGAGTAATATCGCCTGAATAATGAACTTGAGAGGACAGAAGCTTTCATCGCTCACCATTCGCTCTCAATTCCTCTATTTCCCTCACGCTTTGTGAAAAAGCAGCCTTCGCAACCTGGTACTGCTCATCCGTCTCATACTTCTTGCTGTAACTTCAAAAATTACGATAGGCGATGGAAGAGCTAGAGGCTGGAGGGAACGGATCATCTCACTCTCTCATGAAGTCCTGGAAGGCCTGGTCGATATCCACCAGTTGATCATCTCGACCCGATCCTCTGGCGATAGTCTGAGCCATAACGATAAGGTGAAGAGCTCCGGCGGTGAACCACATGATGGCGAGGTGCTGATTGAAAGCAACAGAATAAAAGACTGCCAGCGTCAGACAGTCTGAGTCAGACTAGGAGACAGAGTATTTTATAAAAACTGGAAAAACTGCTTTTAAAGGCGCAAAACTAATTAAAAATTTCTGCGATCTCCGTGCGGAACTAAAAAACTCAAGTATATCTCGCTACTCTCATACTTATTGTAAACACGACGGGGAAAATGTGTAGATAATCGGGAATGGGCCCCGATTATCCATTGTGAAACTGCGCTTGCACGGTCTGCGCACGCGTGCAGCGTTCATAATTCACGAAGTCCGCACGCGTGAGGCTCACGCCGTGAGCAGACCGCACGAATTGTAGATCTTTTAGAACAAGAAGAACCTAAAACTCCGAAACGCATCTTCACGTCTTTGAAAAACTGGCCCGGATTTGAGGAAAACTTCCCAATCTTAGTCAAAACCCGCTTATAGAATACTCTGCTAGGAGATACAGGGAGTAGCTTCATTGTCGTTGTCAATTCTAACATAGCGACACCTGGGAGATTCAATGTGAATCTTTTACCTTCTGCGCATGATCACTATGACAACGCTATTTATGAAGTTGTTCTGTCGGTGGCGTTGGGACATCTTCTGTGTATAGACATATCATGAGTTGATATTGTATCTCTCTCTGTGTGGCAGCTGCGTAGCCCAGCACTGAGTTAGTCTGTATAAGACTGAGTAGAAGCAAGGCTTATCTATAAGTATTGTTGGTTATTCTCCGTGGGTCGGTAGACTTCTGTGTACTCCTTAAAGTTGCTGGGTTTACACTATACTCTATTGATTGGATAAACATTGGACAAGTATCTTCTTGTGTAACTAAGTATGGTAAATGGTTCTGGGCAAACGGCTGAGTCGACAGTGAATGGTACTCCACCAGCCAGGCAGCCCGGTTCAGGAGATCGTCTCGGCTCCCAACAGTGGTGCAGAGTGAGAATATGGCCGTCCTTAAGCAACAACTTGGTACTTATCGTCGCAAGCGCACCAATGCCTTGAATGCTATCAAGGATTTACGTCAGAGAATGGCCGACGAGGAACTCGGGAATGACGAGGGCAATGCTGAGACCCTACAGTCTCTGAGTCATCAATGGCAAAATATGAACCTGGCCGTTAAGTCCCTGGAAGACCTCGAAGA